GGGGCTGACCGCGGGCTCCCGTGACATCTGCTCCCAAGAAGGGTCGTCCCCGAGGCGGGTGGGGAGAAGCTCACGGCCCTGACCCCGCCCGCGGGCGGCAGTTTTTTTTTCTGGCCCGCCCGCGGCTTCTCCCCCAATTGCTGGGGTCATGGGAGACGGTCCCAGCCTCTGTCCTTTTCCCAGACACCTGCCCCTCATCAGCCCGCAGCATCACCTTGAGAGGTGGCCCTTTGGTCTCGCTCTCCTGTTCCCCAGGCCCTGACGGCCCCCCCTCTGTTTCGCAGAGCAGACCCGTCCGTCTGGGGGCGCCACCCGCACCGCTGGCCACTCTAGGCATCCTAGATGAGACCCGTCCAAGGCCGGGCTTTGCGGCTGTGAGGCGGCCAGTAGAGGTGTGAGCGGCTGTCCGCCCACGGGGTGCGGCCTGTGCCAGCCGCTGCTGTCACTCTGCAGTCTCCCTGCCAAGGGCCCACGTGCCGCGCGGGAGCCGGGAGCTCGCGGTCAGGCCCAGGTGGAGCCCTGGCTCATTCATTTACCAGCTTCGCTGTCCACAGCCGTTCAGTGGGGCTCGTCAGGCCCGACCTCTGGGCGCCGTGCGTCAGGCGAGCCGCCCGTCGGCGGCCGGGAGCTGCCAACGCCGATGTCCACGCCCTTGTTTCTTTGTCCTTAATGGTTTTATAAGGATAGGGGCAGACGAAGCTTCCTGGCACCGGTCCCGTGACGGAGCGTCCTGGCACACGTCTGGCGTCTGCTGCGCCTGCCCGCGGGGGAAACGGCCCCCGAGCGGTTTCCACCCGGGGCCCCAGACTCCGGACGCCCCCGCGCTTCGCTGCGGCGCTGTTTCTCAGAGAGCGTCTCGCCCGTGATTGAGAATTGGGAGTGGACGGTCACTGTCGCCCTCGGCCAGCGCAGGGCCTGCCCCTCAGTCCTTCTCTGTCCGTCCGCGTGTCGCCCAGGCCAGTGCCGCCGCCGTCTGCGTGTCCGCATGTGCTGACCGCACACAGACAGACAGCGTGACACTGTCAACTGTCGACTGTTCCTTTCTTTTCATTCTGAAAAGTTTCAGACGCACAAAAGTTACCTCCGCCAGGGGCGCACACGCGGGGGTGACCCGTTCTCAGCCCCGCCCCCCGCCCCCCACCCCGTCTGTTCCGGGCCCAAAGCCGTGGGAAATCCCGCATCCGCGATGCAGACCGTGTACGCGGCCACAGGCAGCGGGTGAGCGGCCGGCCGGCCGGAGGGTCCGCTCCCTTTTGGCCGTCGCTGGTGACACAGGCCAGGGGGCTCCTCCTTCGCACAGCTCCCGTCAACCCTGCCCCCCCACCCCGACTTGGGCACCCGCCCCCAGCTTGCCCCCCTGGGGCAGCCCAGGGGCCGGAGGGTGCTTGGGGTCCCTTCACGTGGTGGCTCTGGATACTGCGAGCGTCAATGGGACCCGGCCCTGAGTCCCCGCACCACGTTCTGTCGCCTAGAAGTGAGGGGCCCGGCCGCACCTGCGCCCAGCTCGCGTCCACCTCCCTGTGCCTCGTTTCCCGCCTGTGGAACAGGGCGGGGGGTGGGGGGACAGTGTGCTGCTGGGGGCCAGACAAGGAAAAATGCCAGGTGAGCTCCGGGCCAGCCGCCTCCGCAAACGCGCTCAGGGCCCCTGTGAGCTCTGGCCACGGGGCAGCAGCATTGGGTCCCATGGGTCCCCGTCCCCACCGTGAGGATGCAGCCGGCCTCCCGTGGCCCCAGGCAGGGCCCCCACCTCCCAGGACCGGGGAAGAGCTGGGGCGGTGCCAGCGGCCCAGGGCTGATGAATAAGTTGTTTATCTGCTCCCACCCCGCCCGGTGCCTGGCAGGCAGAGGCCTGGAGGGGCCACTGGGGGAGGGGTGGGGACAGGGGCCAGCTGGCTCCCTCCCCCACTGCCCCTCCCCCCATCATCCATCGCCACCTGCAGCTGCTCGCTCAGTCCCGGTGTTTCTCCCTGTTTCGGAAGCGGCAGGTTGAAGCGTTGGAAAACGCAGGCAGCCCTGGATTCGAGTCCCAGCTGTGCCCCTCGTCAGCTGCAGGACACCACTCGCTGGCTTGGGAAGCACCCACCTGGGAGGACCCTTAAGGACCACCCAGCCCCTCCCCCAGCTCCAGCCTTTCCCAGTTGGACCCGCCACGCCCATCCTAGAAAGCTCTGGCGCTGCCCCTCCCACCCTCTCCCTGCGAGGTCCCTGCGAGGTGAGGCACCCTACCTCACCGATGACAACTACACAACACCAAGAATGGACTGAGGCTTGGAGGGTGAGGGTGACTGGGCTGGAAGCTTCTCTGAGGACCCTGCTCCAGAGCGGGGTGCGGGGGGGCTGAGCAGCTCTGCCCGATCCTGGCACGCTCATCTGCCCTCCCTCCCTCCCTCTCCCTCCCCGTCGCAAGCTCCGATCCAGGGCCGCTTGGGTCTCCGCCTCTGCAGAGGTGGCCTTGGCCACCACGTCCCAGGTCTGAGAAGCTGTGAGTACCCTCCCAGCAGAATCGGAGCAAGGCCCAAGGTCAGGGGGAGAAGGTCAAGGCTACACGGGGCGTGGGAGGGGGACCTAAGAGACGGGGCGCCCCCTCCCGGGCACCCTCTCTGAGTGAACACCCAGCCCCTTGTTGGCGTCTAGCTTCTCAACCCAGGGGACACTGGTGGTCGTCACAACCGAGGGAGGACGCTCCTGGCAGTGAGTGGGTAGAGGCCAGGACGCTGTTAAACATTTCCGTAGCCCAGCTTCACAAAATACCCCCCGGTGCCAAACGTCAGTGGTGTTAAAAGCAGGAAACCCTCAGCCAAGAACAGGAGCACCCTGCACAGGCCACGGGCCACCCCATCTTTGGGCATCTCTGCCAGAAGCTGCGACTTGTCACCTGCTCTCCCGCCCCCTCGCCACCCTGCCTGTTGTCACCTGTCATTACTAAATGCCCTTCCCTTCCACCTTCTCGCTTCAGGTCAAGACCCACCCTCCCCCGTGCCCCCCATCCGATCACGTCGCTTCCTTGGTCAAATCCTTCACTGGCACCCTAACTTAGAGCAGGGGCCGCATGGAGGCTTTGCTGCACCCTCCCCGGGGTTTTGAAATTTTACGGGAGCATTTTTGGTCGTCGCGATGATTTGGGGGTATAGCCTCACCGCCCATCTCCTTCCTCCCCAACCTACTTAACACTCAGGCAAGAATCTGCTCGGCCCTCAACACACCCTGCCGGTTCACGCCCAGTGTCCACAGGTGCCGACATCTCAGCCTCCGAGGCGCCCCAACCCCGCCCGTCCACCGGGACCACCTGCCCGCTCCTCGAAATCCAGTCGATAGCTGTCATCTGCGTGCCGCCTCGCGAAGCCAGGTGGTCCCTACCACGCCCCACCTTGCAGAGAGTAACAGTAACTAACAATAGTAACAGAGTCGCTACAATTAGCTGCGCACAGCTGTGCCAGGCACTGTTCTCAGTGCTTCTCGGGCACTAGCCCGCGGCAGCCTAGAAAACATCAACTCCCATCGCTCTGTTCGCAGACGGGAAAGCTGACGGTTAGAGAAGGTAAAGAATGTGTCCGAGTTCTCAGGACTTGTCAGTGGTGGAGCCGGCCGTTCGGCTCCTAAGCCTGAGTCCTTAACGGCCCCGGCTCTGCGCACCTGCAGATACTAACCACACTGTGTGCTTGTCACCTGTGAGAGAGTCTGTCACATTGCCGAGCTGCCCCTCCTAGAAGCCAGAAACCCAGTCTTTCCACTCCTAGACCCCTGAGTGGAGTCACATCTTATCACAGGAAAGAGTCGATGCCCAAATCACTTATAGTAAAAAGAAAAAAAAAAAATCGCCCTTGGGAATTTTATTAGCTTTCGATGGCTGCTGTAACTAATGACCACTCAGCGGCTTAAAACAGCACACGGTCATTATCTTACAGCTCTGAGAGGCCCAAGCTTTAAAACGGGTCTCCCCGGGCTGACGTCAGGGTGACAGCAGCGCCGAACTCCTCCCAGGTGTTTAGGGGGAAGGTCTCTAGTTCCCGGAGCCACCTGCACTTCTCAGCTCCTGGGTCACTCCGGTGCCACGATTACTTTTTCTATCACTCCATCTTTGCAGCCTGTGACGCTGGGCCATACCCCTCGCACGCTGCCGTCACCACCTCTCTCCTCTTCTGCTTCTCGGGACCCTTGTTGGTGGGACGATCTTCCTCTTCTAAGGAGCGCCGACTAGCGGCCTCGACCCCGTCTACACACGTCACTGTCCTTTGCCATGAACCTTACCACAGATGCGGGTTCTGGGGATTGCGTCGTAAGCACCTCGGAGGGGGACGTAATTCTGCCGACCGTGGGAATCCCTTCAGTTACCCCCGGGAGCGCAGGATCCCAAGCAGCAGCTTAGGACAGCAGGACGCACGGGCTCTGCGGCGAGCTTATTGCCCTTCGACCCCAGAGCCGCCACGTGAGCTGCGTCGCCTTCGGCAAATTACGCAACGTCTCTGCGCCTCGCTGCCGCCGTCTGTGAAATGGGGTGATAGCGGCGCCCACTTTGCAGGTTTGCAAACAGAACGGGGCCCGGCGCGTGCAGGTGCTGCATAGGTGTGCTTATGGGCACACCGGCGCCGGGACGAGATCGTGGAGTCCGCCTGCCCTCACGCGAGTGCGTTGGCTCGGCCTGCACCCCGCTGGGAGGCCCCCAGCACACAGACGGCGACTCTTCCTCCTGAGCATGCGCTTATTAGATGGACCACTCGTAGTATTTACATTGCTTATTTTTCTTAATATTTTGCCAAATGAGTGATCGACTTGGCAAAATTTAACCCTGGATTCGCTGGGACCCCCTGTCACTTGCTGAGCGCACGCGTGGACGTCTGGCCGGGCGGCCCTCCCCTCGGCCTCCGTCACGCAGCCCTCCGCGTGTGTCGTCTCGCCTGGGAGGTCCAAGGAGGCAGCCGTGGGACGGAGGGGAGGGTGTCCCCGGTCCCCACGTGTGACACGCATCTGCAGCCCCCAGGAGCCCGTGTCCGTCCAGCGCCATGGAGAGCGGCCCCACCAGCGCCCTGCCCACACAGCCGGGCACTCTGGACGTGTTTCCCAAGAGGAGACTGGAGGCTGGCGACATCGCGGTGCTGGTATTCTACTTCCTCTTCGTCATGGCCGTGGGAATCTGGGTAAGCCAGCCCCGGGCAGGCGGGGCGGGGACAGACCAGCTCGAGGTCGCACAGTACGCCGCACGCCACAGTTTCCAAAACGTTTGTCCGGCAGTTGCACTTGTCACCCCGTGTCACCTGCACAGGCCCTTACGGAGGAGCTACGGTCACTGCACCCCATTTTACTGATACGAAAACCCCGGGAATGTAAGTTCCCTGCTCTGTCAGTAAGGAGAGCGGGTTGAGAATTCGTGGTCTCCTTAAAACGAGACAGAGCGAAAAGTCTCAGAATAACCATTCCCTCCCCAGGTATTAATTTTTCAGCGAATTGGTGTATTCTTCCATAGTTTCTCCACGCAAAACTGAAGCAAATATTATTGTATATATTTACCCCTTTTTCAAGCGGAAGTGAGCTTATTATACCTATTGTTTTTTCACCTTGGTATTTTTCACTTACCAGTGCCTCCTGGGTAGCTCTTCATATCGGAACCTAGAAGCTTCCTCGTCTTCTTAAAAGTTGCACAGTATTTCATTAGATGATAGAACTGCGCTTTATTGACCCTGTCTGCTGATGGCCATTCGGACTATGTCCCATCTTCCTACCTCAATTTACGCCGCCATAAACCAGCCGTGCGCCCTCGTCAGTTTGGACGTGTGCCACTGTCGCGTGGTGTAAGTCCCCACAACCTCTGGGACTGTCAGGGGGAAGGAGACACGCGCTCGTAATTACGATCGTTTGTGGCCGTTGCCCTCGTCGGGGGCGGCGCCGGTCTGCGCACACATCGCCGACAGACGCGAGGCCGTGTCTCTTCGTGTCCTCCAAACACTGTCTTGTCAAACGTTTTCATTTTTACCGAACCAGCATCTCAGCGATCGTCGGTGTGCACTTACCTTGCAGGTGAGGCCGGACGCCCTCACACGTGTTTAGGGACCACTTATTTCCTTCCTGTAAAGTACGGTTTCACGTCTTTCATTTTCATTAGGCTCTTGATCTTCAACTTCATCAGTTTCTAGGAACTGTTTACATATTAAGGAGCTTCGTGACTTGGGGATAAGGACGGTGCAGAGGAAGGGCCACCATGTGATTGTCAGGTCACCTGGTACAAAGGACTTGCAAGCGGGTAGCCCACCGAGCTGCCCCCACTTCGATCTGACTGTTGTAGACCGTTTCTCTCCTCCTACCTCTCAGCTCACCCTCCTCCAGGTCAAGAAGGAAGCGAAAGTCTCGGACAGGCCAAAGACCGGGGCCCGGAGCCTGCTCCGTCCCCCCAGCCGACCAGGACGGAGCAAGGGGAGGAGGCGCTGTCGAGAGTAAGGGCGTTCGAGTCAGCTGGCCTTGGGCGTCTGCATTTTCATGGGAGAACAGGGAGACCCCGGATTTAGAATGAACCAGTATCTACTTTCTCTTCTCTTAAAAAAAAATGATGGTGTTGCTGTCTATTTCTCCCTTCGGCTTTGTTAATAATAATTGCTTTATATACTTGGCGCTCCTGGGTTGGGTGCATACATATTCATGTTATGTCTTTTTGAGAGAGTCCCCTTTTTGGCCTCTTTC